CGTCCGCGTATCTAGCCGGCAGGATGCGCTGCAGCCGCGAGCCTGCGGGCGGCGGGGAACCGGGTTCGCTCAGGGCGCTCGATCCCAGAGAAAATGCACTAGTAACCGTCCACCTCCCTCTACGCCAGCTTTACGGATCCCGGCCCCAGGGGTGCGTAAGAGCGCGGCGCCGGGGCAGTCGGGCTGCGAGTTGCGTGCGCCCTGCCTCGGCCCGGTTCTGCATGCGGAGTCTACAGGCCACACGTACCCACAGCGCCACGCCTGTGATGCCTAAGGTTGTTGAACCAGCCGTCGTAGCGCTGCACTTCCCAGGGCAGCGAGAGCGCGTCCTGGCCACCTGCGGGCACAGAGGGTCGCATCCCCGGACGCCCACCCAGGCGCGTGTCCCCAGTCCCCACGCCCAGACTCTAGTGACAACACCTGCGCGGTGTCACAGCTGCCCGGGAGGTTTCCGATCCTGCTTATCTTTGCAGAGGTCTGGCCCACCCTCCAGCTTCCGGAGCCTCTTGCCTGCCCCTTTTCCTTCCACACCCCAGGAGACACGGGGTGACACCACACAGCTAGGGGGTACCTGCTACTTACCCGCTGGATACAGGGGTCCTGTGAGCAGCGCCCCCAGGAGCACCAGGGTCTCTTTTCTTGCTCGGAGCATGCCGACCCGCAGCCTGGAGAGGGGGGTGAGGGACAGGGACTGTCCTAGTGCTGCCGACGGAGGAGGCGAGCCGGCTGCCTGCACTTCTGGAGTAAAACTGTCTGAAGCATCACCGAGGCCCCGCGTCTGCGCACCACTCTTTCCAGAGCAGCAGAGGCAGTCTCCACCCCTCATTCACCCCTAGGGCGTTAACCTCGACCTCTGGGCTCTTTGGGGCACCACTTCCGTCCCGGGCAGAACGGGCCCAGCCTCCCAGGGCGCCGACCCAGGCCCTGGAACCCCCCACGTCAATTATCCGGCACTGCCTCTCCAGGAGCCTGTAGGGAAGGGGAGGAGGCCGGGGAGCCAGGAGCCCACCCCTTGTTCCGTGAGCGCCAGCGCCGGAAGGGGGTGGCTGGAAAGGTCAGGTCCCAAATGGGACCCACCTCGGTAGTTCGGTCTCTTCGCTGGGAATCTTTGCTTCTCTGCTCGGCTTCTTGCCTGTATTCCACTCCGCGGATCCTCAGCCTGCTCAGCTGCACAGGCACCTTCTCCCTGGGTCCTCGGTCTCCCCGCTGCGTGGGTGTCACCTCTGACAGACAGGCGGCAGGCGTGAATATCTACACCTGCGGCTTGCCCTCCTGCTGTAGAGGCGGGGCCTAGTTTGCGTGCAACACCACACCCCTCATTTGCATAACCTCTGCCTAGCCGGGACCCTGGGACTTGGCTCGGACAAGAACCCTGCATGCTGCCAATGAGCCTATAAAAGGGGTCTGGGTCCCCCGCCAGCCGTCACAGCCAGGAAAGTAGCTGGCCACGGCATCGAGAAATTCCGCTCGTGGCTCAACCCAGAGCTCCGCGCTTCCTTAGGAGCACAAACTTGACCACCCTCTTTGGCCTCTCAGGATCCCTGGCTTGTGCCCTGGCAGCCCTGGGACCGCCGCAGGATGACTCTGTGGAACGGGGTGCTGCCCTTTTACCCCCAGCAGCGGCACGCTGCAGGCTTCAGCCTCCCGCTGCTCATCGTCATCGTGGTGTTCTGCGCCTTGGCCAGCAGCTTCCTGCTCATCCTGCCTGGGATCCGGGGCCGTGCGGTAAGGGGCTTCGGGAAGTGGGTGCGCGGTGTGGGCGTCGCAGGCGGCGGTCTCTGGGCCGAACGAAGAAGGGTCTCCATGAATAGTCAAACTGAGGGTCAGGAGGAGCAAATTCCAGGGTGTTGCTGCAGCAGGCATCTCGCCCCAAGGACAGGGAGAGCACCCCTTGTCCAAGACATCCTGGAGAGGCCCAGGTAAACAGTGCGAGGCTGCTGCAGAAAGGGCCTGGTCGGTGCTGCACGGGCCGAGTGTATTCCTATCCTGCCCTCTGTGTGCTGGCCTTGGGGACAAGAGGAGAGGTGCCAGCAGCACAGACTGCTGTTTCCCTGTGTTTTGGGGTGATGAATGTGCATTGAGCACCCCCAGGAGCCATTCCCAAGTCTTGATTTTTGGTAGTTTCCCAGGGAATCTGTGCCCCTGAGCCGCTCAGCATTTCCACCTCCCCTGCTTGGCCTCCAGGCCTGGGAGCCACCCTCTTCTGGGGGAGGTGACCCCTGCCTCTCTGGCACTTCTGGACTCACTGAGGCAGTGACTGGACTAGGAGGGGACAGGGCAGGCGCCAGACAACTGGGGGAGGGAAGGTGGCTGCAGCTTGCCAGGTGGGGTGGACGTGGAAATGAGGCCGGGAGGTCGAAGCACACGACCTGAAAACATCTGAAACGTCAGTGGCTCCACCTGACATTCGCCTGGAAAGGTCAATAATTCGGTCAGACTAGGGTGGAGTGGGGTTGAGAGGCTGAGCCCAGCCTGACCTGAGCTGCTCTTCCCGCAGCGCTGGTTCTGGTTGGTGAGAGTACTTCTCAGTCTGTTCATAGGGGGGGAAATTGTAGGTGAGTGCGCGGTGCGCCCTGGGGAGGAAGCGGGGTGCAGGAGGAGGTGGGCGGAGGGCCAGTGGTTTCTGCCACCTTTTCCCCTTTGCATGCTGCCCTTTCCGTTGGCCCCTTTCCGGCCTTACCATGCGCCCACCACGGGCTCTGCATTCTCTGCCCTACCCGATCCCGTTTGTCAGCGCCATCTCCCTGCGGGCTTCTCCCACAGCTGTGCACTTCAGCGGGGAGTGGTTCGTGGGCAGCGTGTGGACCAACACATCCTACAAAGCCTTCAGCGCCGAGCGTGTGCAAGCCCGCGTTGGCCTGAACGTGGGCCTGGTGGGCGTTAATATTACACTGAGAGGTGAGGAGTGAGTGAATTCGGAGGCTGGGCGACCCCAGGGTCCCAGCCTTTGTCGTCTTCCGCACCCGAAGCGCTTGCTCTTCACGGGTTCGGGTTTTCCCCAACCACCACCAAACCCATCTCCACCCCGCTTGCCCTGCCTGAACCGGCTCAGTTTCCGGCTTGCTGGCCTCGCACGACCTCAAGACCCTCGCCATCCCCCGCAGGGACCCCAGTGCAGCAGCTGAACGAGACCATCGACTACAACGAGGCGTTCACCTGGCGGCTGGACGAAGACTACCACGGCGAGTACGTGCGCGCGCTGGCCAAGGGGCTGCCGGACCCGGTGCTGTACCTGGCTGAGAAGTTCACGCCCAGCAGCCCCTGCGGGCTGTACCACCAGTACCACCTGGCGGGACACTACGCCGCGGCCACGCTGTGGTGAGCGCGGGGC